GAATACTCAAAAAACCTTTTGATTGAAGGGAGAAACTTGCAACTCCATGAATACTCGATAAAGAAACTCCAGCTTGAACATGAGTAGATGTTAGAACTCATATTTGAGTGAGAGATCAATGAAAATTCAAATATGAGTGATGAAATCTCATATTGGTTAAGAATTAACCATGTGAGTATTGGTGAAGCCAAATCGTGCAATGGCAAGCCCTAGTGTGGGTAATAGTCAAATCGAACCATGACGTTTGGGCTAGAAAGGGCTATGCCCTGATTAATAACTATAGTTTTTAATCTAGTGGTAAGCGCTCGATCCTATATTTGGTATCGGAGTTGAGATTATGACTAACAACTTTAGCTTTTGCTCTTGTGAGTGTTCGATCTAACAATAAGACCATATAAGTGAAATGATTCATGAACTTAATGCTTTAATTTTTTTGATTAAGATCTGGTGTTGAACCTAATTATTATGGTGAATTATCACATCACCACTGATAAATATCTCCTTATCATAGGCTCCCATACAAAAGGCGATCTAATACATTACGTCTGTCAATAGGTATAAAAGAGAGCTAAGAGAAAACTAGAATTTTCTTCTCCAAGAATGTTAGTCATGTTAAAGCTGCCGAGCTTACTGAAAGAATAGGCTTCCATATGACTGATGATTTAGGGAAGTACTTGGGCATCTCTCTCCAGCATAACAGAACAAATAGGAACTCTTTCCATTTTATTATTGATAAATTCTTAACCGCTTAAAATCCTGGAACCATATTTCCCTCTCCATGGTAGGAACCCTGGCCAAGGTTGTTATAGAAACTCTCCCAACCTATGCAATTCAGTCCCTCAACCTCCCTGGATGATTGAGTTATCTCACACCTTTAGAGAAGGGAACAAGGTAGCGGACTGGCTTGCTACCAACCAACTAACCCAAGAATTTTATATTCACACTTTTACTCACCACCCCCCCAGGGCTATGAGGAGTTCGTGGTCAATGATATTGTAGGGGTGGGATACCCACGTATGACCTTTAGCTATGTCCCCTTTTGTTTCTTTTCTTTCCCCTCTTATCCAAAAAAAAGATGTCTTTGTGGAAATAATCTTTTATATTCCTAAATAATGGTGTATCAACCTACACAATATATACATATGTAATCGCCTCTCCCAGGATTCCTAAATAAGGAGATCTCTTCCTCGATGTGAAGAAGAAGAAAAAAATTCATTTATATGGTTATGATTCTCCGACTTGACAAATCTTTAGATTAAGTGACTTGACATCCGATTAACCTATATATATATATATATATATATATATATATATATATATATATATATATATATATATATATATAGAGGTAAGATATTTTGACACTAGTGTCAAAATTAAAGTTTGACACTACATCTGAGAGTCGTTAGATCAAAAAAATTAACGACTCTGATTTGTAAGCATGTGACACCATTAATCTTTTTTAATCTAACAACTCTCAAATGAGGTGTCAAACTTTAAATTTGACACCGGTGTCAAAGGATTTTGTACCCTATATATATATATAGGGTAATTATTATTTTACACTGGTGTAAGTTACACTTTTAATCTTGATCGTTGATTTTATTTATATCTAACGGTTCTGATTTGTTAAATATTTGAGCCGTTAGATGCAAGAAATCAATTATCAAGATTTAGTGTAAAACTTTTTATTCTTATACCGATGTAAGCATATCTTACTCCATATATATATATATATATGGTCCATCTGGTATCCGGTCACTGGATATAAAATTTTGTCCAACTATCGTATTATAACTATGTACTTCGGGAAATACATATTTATAATATTAAAATTATACTTTTTTTCACTTTTCACGTCAGGATACAAATTTATGAAGAGATAAAAGAGTATAACTTTAATATTATAACTATATATTTTTTGAAATAAAATCTTATATCCATTGATTGGACAAAACCTTATATCCAATGTGCATATATAATGGGTAAGTAGCGTTTGTTAATTCAAAAACTTTACCCGAATTCGTTAAACTGTTCCTTATTAATTAAAAAACAATTATTTTACAGTATATTGTGAAAGACTCGTTTATGTGTACGTATGTTTTTAAAATCTCATGTAAGTTATTTGCTTAGAGCAAATATAGTACTACATGCAATACTTTTACCGTATACAATAGGGTTGGCAAAAATGAATTAACCCGTCGGGTTGGCTCGTAACCCGTAAAAAATGAGCCAGGTTGGATTGGCAAAAATGAGTTGCTAACTCAACCCCAGCCAGCTCGGAAAAAAGCGAGCCAACCAACGGGTCAAACGGGCTAGCTTGCGGGTTGAGTTTTTTTTTTATAAAAAAAAATACAAAATATAATATACAAAAATGGACAAAACCTATACATATTGACATTGTCTTTCTTCCTTCTCTAAACCTAAGTCCATAATTTTCTCATCATTTTTATATTGTTAGACTGTACTGTTTCTGTTTGGTTCAAATATCTTACCCATTTGGTAGCAAATGGTTCTGATTGTTTCTTGATGTTGGTGAATTATCACATCACCACTGATAAATATCTCCTTATCATAGGCTCCCATACAAAAGGCGATCTAATACATTACGTCTGTCAATAGGTATAATAAACTGGCTAAGTAGTGTATATTTTTTCTTGCTCTATGTTCTTAGTATATTAATTGTGATTGACCAAATGCTCCCTAGCATGGTAGTTTTAGATCTCCAATTGGGATTAATGCTTTTCATATTGTAGGAGATAATTTATCTCATACACACACATAAAAGTGTGTGAGACCCATGTGAAGAGAAGAGAGAAAAAGAAAACATGTGCCTCACCCACTTTTATGAGTGTGTAAAAAAAAAATTATCTCCTACAACATGAGAAACATTGGCTCTGTTTGATTTCTATTTTGGAAAACAATTTTTTAATTTTCAGAACAAAAAAACTAAAAAACTCGTTTGGCAACACCTGTTTTGTAAAAAATGTTTTGAAAACTATAACTGTTTTTTTGTTTTTAAAATCAAATTTAGAGAACATGTCTGAGTTGTTTTTGTTTTCTGTTTTTGTTTTTAACTTTCAAAAAGAAAAAAATATAGAAAACAACTGTTTCCATAACTGTTTTACAAAACAGTTTTAAGAACAAAAAAACCATAACACAATCAAACAGACCCATTATTACCCTCCAGTTTTGTTGAATTCAGAGAAATGTTTCATTATCCACTCCTGAAGCATGCTAAAGGCACTTCCACCTGCACGCTATAACCTTCAGTGTTACATAACATGTATTAATGTCAATATTGCGCTCCTACATTGTTATCATACATTCTCTACTGCTTCTATTCATGGTCATAAATATTTTCTCACTATTGTAGATTATTTCTCACGCTACACATGGATTAAACTTATGTCCAATAAAAGTGAGACTAGAAAGCATCTGCAAGATTTTATTCTTCTCATAGAAAACCAATTCAACACTTCCTTGAAATCCATCTGAACTGACAATGGAAAGGAATTTGTAATGACTGAATTTTATGCACTCAAAGGTATACACCATCAGACCAGTTGTGTAGAAACCCCTCAACAAAATGGGTTAGTATAGAGGAAACATCAGCATATATTGAATGTCACTAGAGCCTTAGCTTTTAACAAACTCTAAACTGATCTAACTAACTAGAGTAAGTTAATTAACAGTAAAAGGTTGCATCTACATGGCTACATCAGGATTCTCCTTAATCTTCATTAAGTGTGGAGCTGATACATTTGGAATGTATGATAACAAGCTGAAACAATGCCATGCAAAATGTGCAAGCTGTGGTCTACTGTAGACTCTAGAGTCTTTTAAAATCATAAATTGATTGGATAGAGAAAGTGGGTAAACTGATTAAAAATCATAGAGGCTACTATAGTATTACCAAAGTCCTTCTGGTCTTATACTGCCTTACATTCGGTTTATTTGATCAATAGACTGCCTACTTCGCTGCTACAACACAAATGTCCCTATGACATTCTATATCAGAAAGCTCCCATCATAACTGATATACGTACATTTTGATGTTTATCCTATGCATCCACATTACTCTCCCATAGACATAAACTTTCTCCAAGGGCTCGCAAGTGTGTCTACCTTGGTAACCCAGCTGGTAAAAAAAGGTACATTTTGTATGACCTTATCTCTAACCAAATCTTTGTTTCTCGACATACAGTTTTCTATGAATTTAATTTTCCTTTTTCACAAACTGCCTCACAGCTTGATAAACATACCTCAGAGAGTTCAATTCCCACTTTTCCACAAACACATCAACCTTCCTATTCTGATGATACCTCAGAGAATCCTGATGATGCAATCCAACCTACAACCCAACCTATAACTCACCCTACAACCCAAAATACAACCCAACCTATAACTCAACCTACAACCAACCTATAACCCAACCTGATAATAACTCACCCTTGCTTCGCAGATCAACAAGACCAAGAAATCCTCCTTTACACTTAAGTGATTATCATTGTCACCTTACCCAAACCAATTCTTCCACCCGATACCCTTTAAACCAATTCTTAACCTATGATTTATGCACTCCCAAATTCAAGAACTTCTGTTTCAATGTTTCCACAGAAGTTGAACCCAAAACCTACAAACAGGCTGTTAAACATACATGCTGGTAACAAGCAATGGAGAAAGAACTTGAGGCACTTGCTATTAATCATACTTGGCAGATCGTTGATTTACCACCAGGGAAAACACCCATCGGTTGTAAATGGGTTTATAAAACAAAATTCAATGCATATGGCACAATCGAACGTCACAAAGCCAGGTTAGTGGCTAAGGGCTACAATCAAATTGAAGGTATTGACTACTTTGAAATCTTCTCACCGGTTGCAAAACTAACATCAGTGTGTGTCCTGCTATCAATTGCTGCTGCCAAAGACTAGTTTTTAGAGCAACTAGACGTAAATAACGCCTTCTTACATGGTGACTTAACAGAAGAAGTTTATATGCAGCTGCCTCAAGGCCTTGTCCATGAGAAATCCAACCAAGTCTGTCGTTTAACAAAATCACTCTATGGACTCAAACAAGCGAGTCGACAATGGAATTCTAAGCTCACTTCTGCACTATGCTTTCTGGGTTATACTCAATCTTCAGTAGATCATTCTTTATTCACACTTCATCAAGGTAATTCTTTCACTGCACTACTTGTTTACGTGGATGATATAGTGCTTGCTGGTAACACTATGGAGGAAATCAAACGTGTGAAATCGTTCCTTGATCAAAAATTTCGCATTAAAGACCTTGGAGCTCTCAGATTTTTTTTGGGACTTGAAATCTCACGATCCAAGAAGGGCATCATTCTTAATCAACGCAAGTATGCACTCGAACTCCTTTCAGACAGTGGCATGCTTGCTGCAAAGCCTGCTTCCACTCCATTGGATCCTGCTATTAAACTTAGTTGTTCCTCTGGTTCACCTCTACCAGATGCTTCTTCATTTCGTCGGCTAATTGGTCGTCTCTTGTATTTGACTACTACTAGACCCGATTTATGCTTTTCTGTTCAACAACTAAGTCAGTATGTATCAGCTCCTACTGACATTCACCAAGCTGCTACACATCGTGTCCTCCGCTATATAAAGAGTGCTCCAGGTTTAGGTTTATTTTTCCCAGCTGAAAACAATTTAAAACTTTTCGGATACTCTGATTCAGATTGGGCATGTTGCATCGATACCCGCATATCTATCACAGGCCATTGTGTCTTTCTTGGCAATGCTTTGGTTTCATGGAAATCAAAAAAACAAACTACTGTATTGAGGTCATCTTGTGAGGCTGAGTATAGAGCCTTAGCTAGTCTAACATGTGAGCTCCAATGGTTAGTCTATTTGCTCAATGATCTGCATCTTCCTCAAACACAAGCTGCTTCGGTTTTCTGTGACAATTCTTCTGCCATTTACTTGGCACATAACCTTACCTTTCATGAATGCACAAAACACGTGGAGATAGACTGCCACGTTGTTCGTGAGAAAATTCATAGTAACCTTATTCACCTTCTCCCAGTATCTTCATCAGATCAACTGGTTGATCTATTCACAAAGGCACTATTTGCTCATCCTTTCTGCACCATTGTATCCAAGTTGGGCCTTCAGAACCTCTGCAGTCCCACTTGCAGGGGGATGTTATCATACATTCCAAATGTATCAGCTCCACACTTAATAAAGATTAAGGAGAATCCTGATGTAGCCACGTAGATGCAACCTTTTACTGTTAATTAACTTACTTTAGTTAGTTAGATCAGTTTAGAGTTTGTTAACTTACTCTAGTTAGTTAGATCAGTTTAGAGTTTGTTAGCTGAATCCACATCAGCTATCTTTTCTCTTTTCTTCTTTCTTGCATCAAGTATATAAGCTTGGTAGCTACCGTTCTGTAATTGCTTTTTCCAGAAATGAGAATATACAGTTCATAAGATACATTCCTCTTATACTATTTTCATCATTGGATTTCTAATCTTAAATTAATTTGGAGAAATAAATCTTAGGAATTTGATATCATGTTTTGGTAGTTTGAACATCACAGGTTTATGTGCCACAGCTTCACTTACATGACTGCCATAGTGCCATGTAATTTATCTTTAGCATACATGGCTTAGGGGGAAAATCTCAATGATTTATCTGACACAAGTGTTTTCACTTTAAAAATTTTCATCTGTCAGTAAAGTATGCATTTGTATGAGGCTCCATGACCATTGTTTTATTGGATGCCGATTCTAAATGGGATTCTATTTTCTCATGTTGTTGAGGATAGTTATCTTCTACTATAGACACATGATGTGGTGAGACCCACCACCTATTAAAAAAAAGAAGAAAAAAATGGTAGCTCAATTTTTGATGTGAGAACAACATGAGATAATTATCTCATATAAAATGAGATAATAATTTCTCATTCTAAATATTCAAAACTCAATCCTTAGTCTGATTTTTGCATGGCAACATTGACTTTAATTTCCATGTCTTTGCTTCTTTTAGTCCCCCCATGCATGTCTACGAAGTTTACTATTTTTGTCAAATTTGGCTTAAGGAGACGAATGTTTCCTTGTAATTTTATCCACCTTAAAGTATTAGTTCAGCATGAAGCTATTGGATACATATCTTCATGCTCACAAACTCAGTTTTGAACTCTTTTGAGGCTATGTGGCCACTATATGCCATTGGATGCCTAAATTTGCAGAAATAAATTTTGGAATTTGAACATAATAGCTCAAACCTTACTGCTGCTGCTGGATTGCAGCAATCCCTTACCTATCTGCTAAATTTTGTCTGTTACTCTGGTTGCATATTTTTATACATTTGAAGTATAAAAATATTGATTTCATATAATTTATTTAATTGATTTGTATTAAAAGATATAAAATTAATTATTACTTAAAATAGATTTTGTTTTAAAATAATATTTACATAAAATTAATAATCATAAAATTCATTATGATAATTTTAGACTGGTGAGTCAGCATCACTCATTGCGGACTGAGCCAAATCAGGCTACACCAACTTGGACTATTTGTTTTATATTTTCTGGGCTTCAATTTTGTTAACTAACATGTTGGGCTTGCCCATTTTAATATCTGTAAGACTATAACTCTTACGTTTTACCAAATGAGCAACCTCTCATTGACTCAAAACAAATTGGATTTTGACAAGGAAAATCTATATGGGCTACTCAGTCAAGGACTCATCTCCTATAAAAATTGATAGATATTGTATTATTAAGATGCATTAAAAATAAGGCTTTAATAGCTTTCTTGTTGCTGCAGATTAGAAAATTTGTAGCAACACTTATTTTCACCAGGATCTGGATCCGTATTTTAGAATTTTTTTTTTATTCTAGGATCTGGATCCGTATCCTAGTGTAAATATGTTTGCTGTAACTTTTTCCATCTATAGCAACAGCAAAAACCAATAACCCTAAAAGTAATGAACATGTACTAAAAGAAAAAAGTAATGAACATGCCTTGCTTGGTCCTTTTTCCTCCTTTCAATCTTTTAGGTGAAGAAATGGGCTGATTGGCGCACAAGAGAACGAAATTGGGCAGATACTCCCAATACATCACCAAGTAAATTGCATCAGGAAAGTGGGTAATACTTTCCCAGGGCCTTTTCATCTTGGGCTTTGATTTCGTATAAAAAAAGTAATGAGTTTCTATTTACACATCTTTTTCTTTCTTAAAATTAAATTTATTTTCACAATTAAGTTATTCTCTAATCCAAATAAAATATTTGTTTTGGACCCACATGCTATAGAAGATAAAAGCTATTACATATAATTAGCATTATCCATTAGAGTGTTTTATGAGACAATGAGAGGTTGCTCATTTGGTAAAACATAAGAGTTAAAGATATTAAAATGGGCAAGCCCAACAAGTTAGTTAACAAAATTGTAGCCCAAAAAAAAAAAACAAAAAAAAAACAAATGATCCAAGTTGGTGTAGCAGCAGTGAGTGATGCTGTCCCCTGATAAATACAGGTAGTGACCACATTCTACATTAACTTAGATCCCTCTTGGATCGAATAATATTTTTTTAGAATTTCTTTTTTTATATTACAAAGAGAATCGAACACTACACACACCTCACACCACTGGACTAACTCTAGTAGTTAAAACCTAGTAAATTTAATAGCGCAAAAATTGGCTGCAGATTTAAACTTCTTCAAGAGATAAAAATTGGTTACACAAAGTTTTGAATTTCAAGGGTGAAAGAACTGTGATTTTTTTTTTTAATTATTCTTAGAAATTTGGAAAAAAAATTCATTGAGAAATTTATTGATTTCTCTCACCTACAGACCTACTAATGTATTTTCCTCTCAATTTGAATAAACTAAGTGCTGATGAAAAAAATTAAAGGGGTTGTTTCTCACATATTTATAAAGTATTTTATAAAAATGTAAACCGTAATTAATTTCACACTTTCTGTTTTCAAATTACACACTATATACACCTTAGAGGGTATATAACTCTTTCACACTTGTGTATCAAAAAAAAAAAAAAAACTATTTCACACTTTAGTTTTGTTAGATATACTTGAAGACACTGTTCAATGCCTTATGTTATGCCTATACTTTTGGGATTTTAAGGAATTCGAGCTGACAACCCTACAATCCAAAATTTGAAGCTCACAAATTCCACGATCACATAATGTCCGTTAAAACTCATTAAATGATTTTCTGAATGTTACTTATCTTATTGAGTCTGTCAGAATGCAAGTGCTGCCCCTTTTTCTTCTTGGCAAACATTTAATTGGATTGGACACAAGAAAATTTTCATAGAATTTCAAACTGAATATTTTTTTTCCTCACAAAGAAGAAGAAAAATGCCTTTATAAGACATAAATATCCGTAGGTCATAATTATGATACGGATTTCAATATGCATAACTGAGTTCAATGTTCACCAAATAAGGAAAATGTTTAATTAAGTTTATGGGTCACCCTTGCCCTTGAAAACTTACTTCCATCTGCAACAATGCTCTTCCTGTTAGTTCATTAATTCAAATAATTTAATTAGTCTAACAATAAAATCAATGCTATGCCTTTAAAACCGAATTGTGACCTTCACACCATAAATTTCACTGAGCATTATTTACTCTGTTGTGACTCTCCATTATGGACACATTGCTCTAGACCACAAAAAATGTGATGAAACACTAACAAGCTTAAACAAATTAGTAAAGTCAGAGTTGGTACAGTCCTTAGCATTAGATTCAATTTAACAACACTAACTCTACCTGTAAGAAAAACCCATATTAACTGTACTATTTATATCTCTTGTGCCTAAACAAGCACATGCCCTGCACCACCATCTTGATTATGACTTGTATTCACGTTTTAATTTAAGTGTTATTTATCAATGCTTGCTTAGTTATATGTTTCTTCATTTATATACCTTTTTCTTATAATTGGTAACATAGATTTGGCTGTTTAGTTCCTATATGAAATTAGTCCCAACATTTCATTTCATGTCATATTGCTTTCAAGGAAAAAATAAAGGAAAAGCATTGCAACTTGTAAGAGCAACTGGGGAACAAAATTGATGCTTGGTACAGATAGGTTGTCTCTATAATATGATAGCTTATAAATGAAAAATCTTCAATATGCTTGTCAATTGTGATAAACCTTTTCTTAGATGTTGATACTTGATATTTGTGCCCCTCCTCTTTTATATTTTTTAAAGACATTCATCTCTTTTTTATTAGTTCGTCAAGAACATTATTTCACATGTGTGTGTGTTGTTTTTTTCACATGTATATGTAATTTTATTATATGTAAAAGGTGTGTTAAAAAGTATTAATACGTAAATTTAAAATTTATTTTGATAACACATAAAAAAATTAATATTATGTGGAATAATCTGTAAATAAAAAATAAATGCGAAGATAGCAATATATTTTATTAGTTAAATACGCTCCCCATTTTCTTCATTTCAAGGCCAACACACTAATTAACTAATTTAAGTGAGAATTCCACAAGACAAACAAAATATGTATGTTTTCTTCTTGCTACATGCATAAGATTAAATATTAAATACTATCCAGATTTTTATAAAAAAATAAAAGATAATATATAAACCATATTAACTATGTTATAAAATTATAAACTCTGTTTAGAGATGGTTGCAAATATAAATCACAGTGCAAGTACAGAATAAACTACTGCTAAATTTTGCATTTGAGAACTTAAACTAACTTCAGACTCCTCCTCCTGTTTCATAATACATATTGTTCTTCAATAATGCTAGAGAAAGAAAGCAAAAATCATTAGGTTTTCTAAAAATATCAGGAAATTAGTAAATCATAAGTTACCATTTATTTTATTTTTACTAGTAAATAACATTTTGTGTTATATATAAGTGTTTTTTCCTTAAATGATAACATAAATAGGCGATTTTGAAGTACATAATGTGTGGTAAAAATAGAGACATTGACATCTACCGGTTAAATTTTTAAGTAAATTAATGATTTAAAATTTTATGTGCATATAATTCAAAAAAAAAAATTATACCCTACATACAATTCACTATTTATAAAAAATTTAAAATAAAATTCCCACAACAAAATGCCCCCTATACCTTAGATAGAAGAAGAGAACCCGTAAAGCTTGTCTTGAGAAGGGGATACGATTCAGATTTTTTTTTTTTTTTTTTTTGGAGGTTACAAGGAATTGAACACAACACCCTAAACTATACACACTCTAACACACACA